TCCTTCAGGGCTCTCCACCGAGGAAAAGTGACGCCAATACAAATCCTTGTTTGCCTTGTCCGTCGGTCACTTTCCTTCTTTGCTAACAGACCTTCAGCCGAACGTCCAGGCTTTTTCTTTGTGGTAGGATCCACTTCTGAACCGTGTCTCGGCCGCTTCTCCGCCATGTTAGTTTGACTTTCTACCTGCGCTCTACCTCTTGCTGTGACACTCTCCGCTCGTCCTCCCCCTCCCTTCTTGTTGTGAGGAAGCATTTCCTGTGCGCCAGCGTGGGAATGTCGCCGGTCTACACGCATACTAAAAATGATATATATTGAAAAATACCGCAAGATGTTAGAGGAGCCGATCGGCTTAATCAGCATTGTGTCATCTCCTCTTGTAGTGGCTTGGGTGAAACGGACATTTATGGTCCTGAAGAAGTTACGCACTATAGCTTTAAAGACTAGAGAGATCGTAACATGGGAATAAGGACTGAAAGTTTGAGTTATTACAGTTCTGATTGCTGTGTTGATGCATATTTAAAATTCAGAAAGGATTCATTTTGGCTTCCTGTGAATTATTTTTTGCTGACTGCTTTGTGTCCTCAGGTGTGTCACTCTCCACAGTGTCTCAAGAATAAACCTGTAATGACTCTGGAAGAATCTGATCTGTGTCCACCTGCACCTGAACCAAATCCGGCCAGAGACAGTGACAAGCAAACTATTCCTGTCCATACAGCTACTGTTGCTCCTACTACCACACCTCTTATTCCCACTACTGTTCCTCCTGTTCCCACTACTGTTCCAAATTTATCAAAGTAAATTTTACTCAAACTGAAAAAAAGTTTACTCTGAAAAAGATAACATTTGGTCCCAGTCTAAATAGAGTGAAATTTACTCTCATTGCAGAGTTAATTTTTCAGTAATTTCTACTCTATTAAGTGTTTATATTTAACTCTACATGATGATAATTTAAAACAACTCTACTGCCATTTCACTCAATGTAGAGCTACATTTCACTCAATGTAGAGATATATTTCACTCAATGTAAAGTTATATTTCACTCAATGTAGAGCTACATTTCACTCAATGTAGAGATATATTTCACTCAATGT